TTTACTTGTATGTATTTAAACTGTGCTAATTTTGTTTCCCCTTTATACTATGTATAAAGCATACGTATATACATACATACATATATGTATGTGCATACGTACCGCTACTTAAATAGTTCAAGGTGAACTTTCTGTTAGTTAGTCGCGGACCAAATCTTGTTAAATACAGTTGCTTAACTTATGCATACATCGTTTGTTTTATTTTAATAGCTGCTAAAAAGGCTTAGTAGCTCAACATTTGGTGACCCCGACGTGATCGTATCACGCGATTTTTCGTTTGTTTCCGGCCGCTTACTGAGATAATTCTGCCACACTAGTGTAAACGTCAGCAACTTCGTCATGCCAGGGGAAGGTGCAGATCGAGTAGCTTTTCTAAAGCTGAAAACAAAGGCCATATTCAGCAGACTGGAGAGCTTGATTAACGAGTTGGACGCAGACAAGCTACACAGTATGGATGAGTACAGTCTTTCAGCAATGCTAGAATCCTTAGGCGAATTGAAATCCAGTTTTTCTGCCGCACACACAAGCCTAGAGGAATTGGACTTCGACTCCATTGCCAGCGACCTGCCAAGTAACTTCGATGCTGCTCTAATCAACCTTAGAGCTACACTGCAACGCGAGATTGGTAAACGTAGTGCCTCGCAACATTGCTCCACGCTCAGAATGAACTCTAGTGAGACCCAATCAATCATTGTGAACGCTAATAGCTCACGCTTGCCATTGCTGACACTGCCTAGATTCAGTGGCGCCTACACCGAGTGGACAAATTTCTATTCAATGTTAACGTCAATAATCGACAAGGACAGCGACCTCACCAACATCGACAAATTGCAGCATCTTCGTTCCTGTCTGAGCGGCGCTGCCCTTGACACCGTGCGCTCGCTGGAAATAAACGGCGCTAATTATAACACTGCATTAGATCTTTTACAAAAACGCTTCGATAACAAACGTCTTATATTTCAGGCACACGTCAGGGAGATATTTGGGCTAGAGAGGGCAGATTCAAACGTAACCAAGCTACGAGGGCTGACAGATAAGGTCACAGCACACATACGCGCATTGCAGTCGCTCGCATCCAATGGGAAGATCGCAGATGGCATCATCGTACAATTGGTGATCCAGAAACTCGACAAAAAGACGCAAGCTAAATGGGAGGAGAGTTCATCGATCAGCGAACTGCCATCCTGGGATCAATTAGCTATGTTCTTGGAGAAGCGCTGCAGAACACTCGAGAACGTTGAGCATTCTATGCAGACACCGACTAGTCAGGCGGTAAAAGCTAACAAGAACGTGAGTACTGGTCAGAGGAAATCCTTTGTTGCTTCCAACGGCTCAAAAGGTGTTTGTGTGTTTTGTGGATCTGCCGAGCATGCAATTTATAGCTGTCAACGCTTCGCAAATTTGTCTCCGAACTTACGCTTTCCCTTTGTCTTAACTGCCTAAAGACTGGGCATCAAATTCGTGACTGCAAATCCGGATCGTGCCGCGCCTGTCAGTCGAAACACCACACGCTCTTGCATTTCGAACGCTCAACTGCATCGTTAATCAATAGCCAAGCCGAAGCTTCGTCGGCAGCTACAGTTCAATCCAACGCTATGACTGCATCGTTATCTGTGTCGCCTAGTGCCCCAGTATCTCCTTCTGATGCTGTGTTCCTAGCTACTGCCGTCGTTCTGGTAAAAAATCGTGCTGGAAGCTTCGTGCCTTGCAGGGCGCTTTTAGATTCTGGCTCCCAGTTACACTTTGTCACAACTCGCCTTGCAAACCAATTGCAGCTTGTAAAAGCAAAATCTTCTGCTACAGTATCTGGCATTGGAGATGCCAATTTCTCAACGGAGGGTTACTCAGTCGACCTCGTACTGAAGTCGCGGACTTCAGATTTCTCAACAAACATAACAGCTGTTGTTGTGCAAACCATAACCGACAACCAGCCTGGCTGCTCCGTGAGCACCAACGAGTGGAATGTTCCGTCGAATATACAACTAGCTGATCCTGGGTTCAACTTACCGCAGCGAATTGATCTGCTCATTGGAGCAGCATTGTTCTTCGATCTGCTATGTGTAGGGCAGATACGCTTGACATACGGTTTACCACTCCTTCAGAAAACACACCTCGGTTGGGTGCTATCTGGAGGGGGGCAACAAGCTCCAAAACTATCATCTTTTGTGGTGCGACGGAAGTCCTCCAGTGATATTATTTCCACTCGGTTGGAAGATTTAGTGCGTCAGTTCTGGGAAATAGAGCACAACTTCGAGCCGATCTCTAAGGCCTCCCAAGAAGATATCGACTGCGAAGCCCACTTCCGGGAAAATTATTTGCGATTGTCATCAGGCGAATACTCAGTTCGTCTTCCCATGAAGCGTGGTGTGGAGGCCCTTGGAGACTCCTATTTGCAAGCTCGTCAACGCTTCGAAAGTCTTGAACGAAAATTCGCTCGTAACCCTGAGCTTAAAACAGAATATAGTAAGTTCATAAAGGAATATCTGGACCTTAATCACATGTCGCTAGTTACCAATGAGGTTTTTCAACAATGCAAGTATTTTCTGCCGCATCATTGCGTCATCAAGGATGACAGTAGCACAACAAAGCTGAGAGTGGTTTTTGATGGCTCTGCATCCACTACTTCGGGCTTTTCGCTGAACGACCTACTCATGGCAGGCCCAACTATTCAGCCGAAACTTTTTAATATCCTTATTAGATTTCGTACTTTTCCCATAGCACTTACTGGGGACATCTGTAAGATGTATAGGTGTGTTCGCGTCACCCCACCAGATAGCATGCTCCAATGCATATTGTGGCGTGAATCTCCTCAGGAAAACTTTGCCATCTATAAGTTAGACACGCTGACTTATGGAACTAAGCCTGCGTCATTTCTGGCCATACGTGCCATGCACCAACTCGCAGCTGACGAATCCTCGACTTACCCCATTGGTGCAGAAATAGTGCGTCGAGACTTCTACGTAGATGACTTGATATCTGGAGGCGATTCGATGGAAGAAGTACTGAATATCAAGCTACAAACAACTAGCCTCCTTGCTCGAGGAAACTTTAAGTTACGCAAGTGGTGCTCTAATAGTCCAGATATCCTTCGTGATATACCTGACGTAGAAAAGGAACGTTTCCTTAAGTTTGACGATGGCAGTGACATCACCAAAGCTCTGGGACTAGTTTGGGATCCGGTCAAGGGCAAGCTGCTATTTTCGTTTGTGCCACAACGAGAACTCGGTAAAAACTCAAAACGCTCTGCGTTGTCTACTCTAGCTCGCTGTTACGATCCCCTTGGACTAATGGGCCCTACGCTGACCAAGGCGAAGATTCTTCTGCAACGCATGTGGAGAGACAAGCTTGAGTGGGATGAGAGTCTACCGCAATCGTTAAACACCGCCTGGTCTGCCTTTTGCAGCGGGTTTGCAGACATACAGCACCTATCATTTCCTCGTTACGTCTTGCAACCTGGGGCCATTACAGAAATTCATGCATTTTGCGATGCAAGCCTTGAAGCTTATGGGGCTTGCGTTTATACGCGTTCAGCCAAGGATAGTAAGGTACAAGTGCACCTGTTGTGTTCGAAGGCCCGTGTCGCTCCACTGAAGACTATCACCGTGCCCATGCTGGAACTCTGTGCAGCAACACTGCTGGCACAACTCATGGGTGAGTTTACAAAAATGAAGCTTTTTAACTGTTCATTTCATTGTTGGTCAGATTCCGGTGGCACTATGTTCCGACAGCAATGAATCCGGCGGACATTTTATCCAAAGGAGCTACCCCGCAGGAACTTCTAGGATCTTCACTTTGGATGCACGGCCCGTCATTTTTGCGAAAAGTGGAGGGCAGCTGGCCGCGCATGTGTCTACCACAACCAAAACTTCCAGAACTTCGACAAAAGGTGTTGCTTGCCGCACATAACCGCAATGACATTTCGCTTTCGTTCAACGCATTTTTGGGTACGTCAGCAAATTTGTCAATATTACAACATCGCCAAGCTCTTCGCAGCTCACAGCCGCAGATATTCACCATGGAACTCAACTGCTTATTCGCTTAGTACAAAGAGCGCAACTTTGGCCGGAGTACACGGCATTACAGGCCAATAATTGCGTCCCGAGTTCGAGCAGCATTGTTTCGCTATCACCATTTCTTGATGACTTTGGAATTATTAGAGTCGGCGGGCGATTAAAAAACTCTATGCTTAGTTTTGAATCGCGCCACCCACGCATTATTCCGAAGGATCATCCACTGACATTTAGTATAATAACCTTTTTTCATCGCAAACAACATCACACAGGTCCTCAAGCTTTACTCGCCTTCATTCGAATGCAGTTTTGGCCCATAGGTGGTCGGAAAACAATCACTCGAGTCCTACAAAAATGCATTATTTGCTGCAAATCGAGACCGCGCCTTGTCGAGCACATAATGGCCGACCTGCCTAAAGAGCGAATTCAGGCCTCGCGCCCATTCATAGTCACCGGTGTGGACTACTGTGGGCATTTTATTACAAGCCTGAAGTACGCAATAAATCGCCCCACAAATGTTATGTAAGCGTTTTCATTTACTTCGCCACAAAGGCTGTATGGATGGAGATGGTAAGAGACCTCTCAACAGGTGCTTTCATTGACGCGCTAAAACGATTCATCGCTACGCGTGGCATACCCAGCTGCATCTGGTCTGACAATGCGACGAATTTTGTAGGCGCCAAGAACGAGCTTAAAGAACTACGGAACTTAGCCCTCAGCGAGAAACACCGCAGCGAAGTCCACAACTTTTGCCTCAGTAATGGCTTTGATTGGCGTTTCATCCCACCTCGCTCTCCGCACTTTGGCGGTTTGTGGGAAGCGGCCGTAAAAACAGCCAAACAACATTTCTATCGTTCCGTTGGCTCATCACTGCTTGGCTTCGATGAATTGCGTACTTTGGTATGTCAAATCTGTGCTGTAATTAACTCTCGTCCTCTCGTACCCCTTTCAGAAAACCCAGAGGATTTAGATGTGCTAACGCCAGGCCATTTTTTGATTGGTGGTTCTCTGACAGCTCTTCCGGAACCGGATCTAACGACGCTAAACTACGACCGACTTGATCGATGGCAGCGTGCAACATACATTAAACAGGTTTTTTGGAAGCGGTGGACTCAAGAGTATCTAACTCTTCTACAGCAACGCGCAAAGTGGCGTTTACCTCATGCCAACATTCAAGTCAATGATGTCGTATGCATAAAGGAAGAAAACTCACCACCACTGAAGTGGCCTCTAGCACGGGTAATCGAAGTTGTCCCTGGAGCAGACGGTGTCGTACGTGTGGCACTTTTAAAAACATCTAGCGGCATAACGCGACGAGCCGTGAAAAAGCTGTGTGTCCTCCCGGTGAAGGATTCTGTTGAAAGCCCTGACCTTTCAACGGGGGGGAGGATGTTCGGAGCAGCAGCGGATAAGCCAGCAACATAAAATATGTTTATC